ATCCGGGCAGGGGGAGCTGACAGCATCCTGGGGGTGTTGGGGACACTGTACTGTGCTATCTGGGCCACACACAGGACTAATGCCCAAGCTAGGGCAGGACCGAGCAGAGTCTTCTTGGCTGGACAATGGTGTAACTGTGACTGCCCACCACTACTCCTCACTCTGATAAGCAGATTGACAGTCACATAGTATGAGGTATTTGGCCCCTCCTCGATCCCCATCACACCCAGTACACCAGGGCCGTTAACATTCCATGGTACAGGCAAAGAGCCGGGGCAGCCGATGCTTTGGGGAGAGCCTTAATCCCAGTGCTCCAATGGCCAAGCCTCCTCTCTCATCCCTGTGATATGCCAGAGAAGTTTCACAAAGCCCTACTATAAAAATATTTTCAACTGTATTGTATACCTAGATTGTACCAATAAACTCAATAAAAAGAAAAAAAATATTTTCATCAAATGTAAGCACCACAGGAAGAAAATCTACAGGCCACTATTGTTCATGAATATAAATACAAAAATGCTCAACAAAACAAGAGCAAACCAAGTACAACAACATGAAAAAGCACCAATATCATGCTTTAAGATGCATTTATTCCAGGAATGCAGAGTTGGTTTAACATCTGAAAATCAAATTAATGTAATATGCTGTAAACCAATAAAATGATGACAAAAATTATGTGACTGGATGAGACCCACCCGCATGATGGAGGATAATGTGCTTTACTCAAAATCAACTAACTTAAGCGTTAATCTCAACTAAAAAATATTTTAACAGAAATATCTAGACCAATGTTTCACTATATATCTGGGTACTGCGGGTGAGCCAAGTTGACACATAAAATTAGCCACCACTAAAACAGAAGCCTAAATCTTCATGGCCGTAGAGGAGGCACCACTAAAGTACAAGCAACAGGACCGGGGATTTAGCTCAGTGGTTCTGCTGCCTGCCTCACAAGCACAAGGATCCGAGTTCAATCCCCAGTATCAAAAAAAGTGAAGAAAAAAAAAATATACGTGTGTGTGTGTGTGTGTGTGTGTGTGTGTGTATACACACACACACACACATATATATATAAAGTACAAATATATATATTATATAAAATACACACACACACACACACACACACACACATATATATAAAGTACAAGCAACAAAGAAAAAACACATTTTGGGCTTATCAAAATCAAAATCTTCTATGCATCAAACGACATTATTAAAAAGTGCCAATCACAGAATGGGGAGAAATTTTGCAAATGAAAAATCTGATAAGAGACATGTTCAGAAAACATAAGAACATCTAAACTATATGAAGTGTCTATGAATTCATAACAAAAAGACAAAAAGAACAATTAAAATGGGCAATTCTCCCAATGGGCAATATACAATTCTCCAATACATATAGAAGAATGACCAACAAGCTCATAAAAAGATGCTGGACAAGAATGGTCAAGAGGGAAATGCAAACCAAAACCATGATGTGTTACCATTTCACACCCAATAATGTGGCAAGAACCAAAAAGAAAGATGGTAACCAGGGTCAGCAAGGACAAGGAGAAATGAGAACTTACACACCCTGCTGGCAGGAATAGAAAATGGAGTAACCACTTTAGAAAACAAACTGGAAAGCAAATTCTCAAAAGCTTAAACTGACAACTGCCATGCAATTCCACTCCTAGGCTGCAATGTTGTGATGTATACTCACGGGTTTTCATACACAGCTCCTGGCTTGTAACTCCCTCCCTAGGGCAGGCCATAGAAACAGAGTTTCTTCCCTAAGAGCTGCAGAATATCTATAAACTTCCCATAATGAAAGTCCCTAGCCTACCCTTGATAGCAGGTGATACGACTCCCCACATGCAGAGGGACCTTGCCTCCCGTTCCCTAGAGGGGGGCAAGTCACACAGATAGGCCCACCTAGCAGCAATCATGCCTGCACAATGAAGTCACCAAACAGTCCGAAAGGAAAGGGTTCACAGAGTTTGTAGGGTGAGTGAGGCTCCTGGCAGGAGGTGCGCCCCTCCTCCCAGTTCTCATCCTGCACGTCTCTTCTGTCTCCTTTGAAATATCCTTCATAAGCCAGTATGATAAATGTTTCCTTGAGTCCTGTGAGCCACCTGAGCAAATTAATTGAACCTAAGGAGGAGGTTATGGGGACCCCTACTTATAGCCTGTTGATCAGAAGCCTGGGTAAAAACCACCTGGGGCTTTCAGCTGGCACCTGAAGGGTAAGGGGTGCTGCTCTGTTGTGGAGGCTGAACCCTCAAGCTGGGGGGTGTGGCACCATCTCTTGATGGACAGGACCAGAGCTGAACAGGAGTAGGGGATGCCCAGCCCATGTTGGCTGCTGCAGCACAGCTTGCTTGGTAGGTGGGGAGAAGCCCCCACCACTGCTGTCTTGCATGGACTGTGTGTTGTGAGTAAAAGGAGAAACACCAGATGATGCCTTTCCTAGAACACAGGCAGCCCCCACCCCCAGATCCCACACAAAACATGGACACGAAGGTTCATGGCTGCCTTCATGCACCAGCCAAGAAATGGAAACTACCCAAAAGTCCCTGAGCTAGAGAGTCGCTAAACATAACGTGTCACGTCCACTCAGTAGATTATTAGTCAGCAATAAAAAGGAATGAAGCATTGATGCATGCCCCAAAACAATGAATCCCTAAAACACGATGCCAAAGGACCATATATTATATGGTTCTAACCAACACGACAATGCGTTCGATATATCCTGCTCCATGAACAACCCAAATAGAATAAGCAAATCCATGGGACTGGAAGTAGATCTGTACTTGTCAGAGGCTGGGGGAAGGGAAATAACTGCCAGTGGATGTGAGGCTTCTTTTGAAGGTGACGAAAATGTTCTAAACTTGATGGTAGTAATGGCTCCACAATACTGTGAATTACTAAAATCAAGGGAACCACATACTTTGTTCTTTTGCATACTGGGGATTGGCAAGCACTCTACCACTAAGCAACATCCCTAACCCCGTACACTTTGTTTGTTTGTTGAGACAGGGTCTCGTTGTGTAGTTTAGGCTCAACTCAAACCCAGGTTGGCCTCGAATTCAGGGGAGTCCTGGCAGGGTGAGAACAGGACACAGGAAGCGATCTCAGGCCCTTTGCATTTAAATGTGACCCAAACTCAGCTCCTAAGGCCACCTGGTGGCCACACTGGGTCTTGATTCAAATTTGGCCTCTGAACCCATCAGGGGCCCAGGGATAGGGCTCAGATACCCCAACTTTCCACAGAAAACTCTGCACCACCTTAGCCCAGAGTGGAGTGAGTGGCCTGGTGAGGGTGGTGAAGGTTCAGCCTCCTCCCTTCCCAGTAAAACACTGTTCTGCCCCAGCCTCAGCTATACCACCCTCCCGCCTTCCCTGCCCTTGGCAGATGCAGTAGGGCCAGCTGACCCTCCAGCCTCCTCCCTGAGGACCTCTGACGAAACTGCAGGTACCAGGCCATCTTCACTCCCTCCAAACTCACTCTGCACCTTCAGCCTAAGGCCTACACAGCTCTATCAAGCTGTTCCAGGCCAGCTCCATGGGACCCCCACCCCCACCCCCACCCCCCAGCTCAGGCCTGCAACACTCTGCTCCATGCTGTGTGCTGGGAGGGAGGGTCTGTCAGCTGTGAGATGCAAAGGAGTCTCTGCCCAGGCCTGGTCAGCACGAGGGGGGCTATGGTGCTTTGAAGCACTTTTTCCATTTCTTGAGCCTCCAGCTGCAAACAGGAAGCCTCAGTTCTCTACTCTCCTTGGCTCTATGCCGCCACCTGGTGGCAATTTACAAGACCACAGTGAGTGGGACCAGGACACTGTTAACAATAGGCTTTGGAGAAACAAAACTGTCTTTCCGAGTGCACAAAGCTCCTTCGCACTTTCCCCTCTCCACATACAGCCACCTTTTAGTAGACAAACTCTCCTCCCTGTTGACCTCTGATCTTGGACACAGTCTGGCCGACAAACGTTGCTCACCTCCAGCCAGGCACCACCCTTTGTCACCATTTAGGTCAGACCCCTGGCCCCAAGCAAGGGCTGTTGGAATACATCATTCTGCCAATGTGTGCTGGGCTGAAGGCTAAGCATGGGCTGGCATGGGGCAGGCCACCTCCTGCAAGGGCCACTGGCAAGCAGCAGAGAACGTAGATGGGCACACACGGCCCTCACTTGGCACCCTGGGAACACTCAACCTACCCACCTGCTCCCTAGCACCCTCAGTCATGCCAGCCAACCGAATTCACCAGGCCAGAGAAGAGCAGAAGTGAGTGGACCAGCTGCTCCACCCACAGACCTGAGACACAAACTCCCAGGGCCACACCAGCTGCAGGCTTCTGACGGTGCAAGGGAGGGAACAAGGTGACAGAGCAAGGAGCAGGAAACCTGGGCTGACAACAGGGTACACTCTTTCTGAATAGGCTCAAAACCCATATTTTTACATGGAATCTGGACTGTTATGAAAATCATATTTTTTACAACTGAGTTATTCAAAAACAATTTTTAACTGAGCAAACCCAGAAAGTACAAATGGGGCCAGGCTGCTCCCAGAGCAGCACAGGCCTTCTGTGTCCTGGGGACATGGCAGCATCACCTGTTCAGTACCGAACTGCATCCCTACTGACTGTCAATCAGCTGCTCCCAGAGCCTGAAACCCCAGCAACCCACCCGATTCCTGCCCAGGACCCTACGTTCCCATGATCCACAAACTATAGGGCACCACCTGGCACCACAGGACTCTCAGGTGATCATACTGATCGACCACATCCTTGCTTGGTCCCAGGGCCACAGCAGATATGAAGCACATTTTGCATCACACCTGCCCACATCCCTTGCAGAATGAGGTATAACTGGCTTAGGCCAGGGATATTGCCATTTCAGGGATCACCTCCAATTCCCGGGGGTGGAAAGTGACCAAGAGCAATGGAGGAGGCCACAAGGATCCTTGGCCACCTCAAACCCACACCAACCATAGCCAATGCACCTGGGCAGGGTGGGGCTCACCTGTCGGTAGGTACAGATGATGATTTCCCGCAGGTGGTAGTGCATGGGTGTCATGGTCTCGCTGACTGTGTCCAGCGCTGCGTCCACCTCCTTCTTCGTGCGGTGCCCATCAGGCAGCAGCTGCACCACCTTCATCACTACCTAGAGCCAGAGGAGGCGGATAAGTGGCCAGGAAACCTCTGGGTGGCAGCAAGCGGGCAAGAGGTTCCTGGGCTAATGTGCTTTTTGTTTCTTTCATCACTAAGACTTTACTGACAATGCAGACATCTCCAGTTGTACATAATTCTTTAATGTATGACTGAAAACCTTAACCACATACTGTGATTCTTTCTTAGTCATTCCAGTGTCTTTCAAGCTTTAAACCTGGAGGCAATTCTTACTGAAAAGGCTGGCAAGGGCTAATACTGCTGAGTGTAGATAAGCTGTTGCCTAAGTATTGTTCAATTCATAACCTATGGTCACAAAACTACACATGATTTCCCAATCTTTCACAGCATTCTGCCAAAGTTACCAGGAAAATGGGGCCCCTGGACCCAAGGTGTCAGAGGGCATGTAGTACTGCCAGGGGAACCTAGGTGCGAGGAGTGTAAACACTTGTGCTACATGTCAGTGACTTAAGTGTTCAAGACATAAGTGCACGATTGTGATTCCAATTGCCATCTCATATGCTTTGTGTTGTGTATGAAAACCACCCATAAACTAAGGCCCTGTGAGACCAAGCCAAGGTATTTATTCTTTCTCCATAAGAAACCTAAATTCAGATGAACCCTCACCAAGATCTAGAATGGCTGCCACATGCTGGGACTGGGGAGATTAGGAGATGTGTGACAAGGCCATGCTGCAGTCCTCCCAGCCCTGCTCCTACCCCCACAACAGCCCCCATTCATTTGGGGGACCTTCGACTCTAGTCAACCCAGCACGGACAGCACTCATCTGATGTGTCCCTGGGAAAAAGAGGCCTGTGTGGCCACCCGGGCTGGGTTCTTCCCTCAACCCTCTGAACCATGCTCCTCTGAATCTGTCTATATTGAATTCTCCACAGCCCCATCAGGAAACCTCACCCCGCCCTTCCTGGGACCAGAGAGGCTTTAGAAAAATGTAAACCTGAGCATGTCACATCCGTGTCATTCCTGGGCATCTGTCTCCCAGCAGCTCCCTCGCATTTCGTGTAAAACCCAAACCTTCCCTGGGTCTATCGCCTCACCCTCGCACCCTCCTACAGCCCACCCAACACCCTTTTCTGCCCTTCCAGACCCTACAGCCACCTTCTCACATCGAGCTGGTCTCCACGTCTGCGCCCATTGGGCAATGGCTGCCTACAGCACTTGCTGGTTACCCATCATCCTTCACGCAGGGAGGAACCAGATACCCGGCTGACGCGCCACCTGCGCATGCGCCCCTCCCCAGGGCCGTCCCCGCCCATCTTCTCAGCAGATGACCAGCAGGCGTGGAGTGGCAGCCAGGTGGGTGGCAAGAACCCAACGGCCTGAAGGACACGAGCAGCTGGTCCAGCTTGAGGGTGTGGGAGCGGGAGGGGCCACCACGCTGGACTCTGTGCAGGTCCCAGGAGGAAATGTAAATCTTGAAATCCAACTCCTAGCCTCTAACATGACACTGTTCCCCCTCTGAATTCTGCATCTCTGTGCCTTTCACCACCACGGAGCCAGAGACCTGGGGTCAGCCTGAGTGTCCTCCCTGCCCCATGTTCAGTGGCCTCCAAGGCCTTCTACACCACTGCCTCCTGCTGTCCCAGGCTGCTTCCTCCCCCTCCTTCCCAGCCCTCCACCCCATGCGACTGGCTGCAGGAGCCCCTGGATGGATGGCCTCATCACAACTTCATCTGCTGCCCTGTTGGCCTCAAGGTCAAATACATGGTGTGGCCCTACAGGGTACTAACAATCTGGGTCCCCCCACTCTCAGCCCCTCCATTCCAACCAATCACAGCCTTGCTCAGCTCCTGCCCCTTTCCAGAGCCCCTCTTCTGCACACACGCCCACCCCACCCTCTCACATCCCCAATACACCTTGTATCTTTAATTTTGAAGGAATTGGACTTGTCTGTTTTTGCTTTTGTTGCCTGGTTTTTGGTCTCATATCCAAGAAATCTCTGCCAAGTACAAAGTCATGGAGCTCTTCTTCAATATCTCATCCTAACATTTTGGTAGGTTTAACTCATATTCAGATGTTTGATCCACTTTGAGTTAAGTTTTTGTATGTGCTGTAGGGTTAGGGTCCAACTGATGCTAAAAGTGCATGCAGGTGCTACCCTCCCCTATCCTGGGCTCCCCCAGACACACCCAGGGCCCTTAGAACTGATGACAGTGGTCACCAGAAACTGGGAGGAGTAATGGGGAGTCATTGTTTAACAGGTCCAGGATTTCTGTTTTGCAAGATGAGTTAGGAGGCATGCCTGTAATCCCAGCACTCTGGAGCCTGAGGTGGGAGGACTGCGGCAAGTTTGAGCAGCCACATGGGGGTCAGGGCAGCAGGACTGCAGAGAGGGGAGGCCAGGAACACATAGCACAATTGGGCAGGTGCAGCTCTAATGTTATTGCCAGGCAGCCACATGCCAACTCTGCAGGGATGTGCCACCTCCTCACAGGGCGTCTGAGATGACAGTAAGTACGTGACACACAAGTGAACCCGAAAGGGTGGTAGCTGTCTTCCCAGTGCCCTGATCCAGAACAGAGGTGCAGGAAGGGCAGCATGGGCTGGGGCCTCATGCAAGAACTCCAACCACAGCTGGGTCCCAGGTGCACATTACTCCAGGATGCCCAGCAGCCAGGCCAGGTGGGAACGAGAGTCCAGCACCCCCCCACATCTCCTGTGGCCATTGGCCAGGGCCCCAGAGCCATGTTGACCCAAGCCTTGGTTTACTCACCAGTGATGGTGGAAAGGGTGTATTGGGAAGAGCCCTGAGGACCCCCAGCTCTGCCCCAGCTCTGCCCCTCTCCCCAGAAACCCTGCCCTCCCCCCAGGACATACTCACCTGAAACTCGCCCTTGGTGAACTTGGCATCAGGCACGCTCACGAGCTCTTCCTCACCCACATCGGGGCAGCCCTGGGGAGGATAGCTGTGGGCCAGGAGCCCTCCCTGGGCACTGCCTCTGCCACCCACACCCTCCCACCATCCAGTGTCCCAGTGCCCACCCTGCCTGGTCAGATCCCTGTCCTCATGTGGGAGCCAACATACTCGGATGCGCCAGAAGGCCAGCACGGCCACCACCATAGCAGTTGTGGTCCGGCCCTGGCCGCTGAGGCAGCTGAACACAAAGCCAGTGCCAGGGTCCTTGGCAAGGGCGGCCCGCAGGGCCTCCAGCAGCCGGTCAAAGTCCTGGAGGCAAGGCCACAGTCTGAGTCTGGACACACACATGTAAGCCAGCCATATGCTGTCCCTGCATCCCTGCATGAGCAAGGGCCCTGAGCGCAGATGGCCACTCCAACAGGGCTCAGCCACCAGGGGGCAGCACAACACAGGCAGGGATGCAAAGCCCTAGTGCAGTTATGGAAGAGTACGAACAGACAAGTGAGTGACCCCCGTGCACCACACACCAGGCACACACACCATATTGGGCACCTGCGTGCCTTCAAGACACGCAAACTATAGACAGCTGGAAAGATGCATCTGTCATAGATGCACAGTCACAACATGAAAACACCCCAGTCACATACTGGCATGCCTCAACAGCCTTCCCACGACCCCATACATCACACAACCCCCTAAAGACCTCTTTCTACACACAGGGTGGTAAGACAAACCTCACAACCCTGTGAAAAACGTTCATCACACCTATATGCACACTCCATGATGCAGCAGACACACACACACACAGCTGGAAGGATGGGAATGAACTTCTTGGGCCACATCATGCCATGGCCCCCCAGCACCACAGCACAGCTGGGCTGGTACCCCTTCCCTAAACCCAGGCCCAGGAAAGGCAGGGGGAGCCTCCCGCCCTCCCTTACCTCCTCTCTGGGGGCACAGAAGTCCGGCAGGGGGACTCGGTGGTAGGTGAGGCCAGGGCAGGCCCCACGGTGCTGGCTGAAGACCTCCTGCATGGTGAGGCACTTCTGGAACCTGGGGGGCGGTGGGCCCTTTGTGTCGGGGGGCGGCATGCTCAGGTGGGCCTTCAGCTGGGCCTCCATGGCCTGGGCAAGGGAGGAAAGGAGGGCAGAAGCCAGAGTCTGCTGTGGCTATGACCAGTCCCAGCATCCAGGCCCATCCCTGCCCCACAGAGCCTCAGGGGTCATAATCCCCCAGAGCCAGGTGGCAACAGAGCATGGAAGAAGAGCCCCAGATAAGCCCCTCAGACTGTTCCCTCTGGCCTCAGTTCCCCTTCCATCCAGTAGGAGCATGGGGCCTCCTGAAGACCCTGCCAGGCCACACCCGAAGGCCTCCAAGGCAGGGCCAGGAAGTCTCACCTCCAACTGAGCGGGGGTCATGGGGGGCCCAGGCGGCCACATGCTGTGGGTGTGACCGTCACACTCCAACATGGCATCTTCCCGCAGGTTGACCCAGACCACCTGCTGCAGCTTCCTTCTGGCATCAGTCAGGTAGGTCAGGATGCTGCCCAGGGCCTATGAGACAGGGACCATTTGGGAAAGTGCCCAACCCTTCCCCACCCTCCTGCACGCCCCATACTCCAGGCACAGTCACCTTGGCACTAGCCTGGGCCATCCCATAGATGGGCATGCGGGGCACACGCCGGAAGTTGGCCACACCCATCTCTCTGACGGTGCTGAGTGCATCCGGGGACACAAGATCATCTGCCTCCTGTGAGGAAGGTATTGAGTCTGGGACCCACAGCAGCCAAACACAGCCACAGAGGGTTCAGACCCTGCTGTCGAGCATGGGGCCAGCACTAGACAGTTTACAGAACCCCATCAGCACCCCAGGGAGGAAAAGAGGAGACAGAGGCTCAAAGATGAAAAGCTGGAAGCAAAGACACCACAGCCCAGGTCTCCTGGCTCCCTGCCAAAGTGCTTGAGTTTGAGGCAGAAGAGGAGGTACTAGAATGGCGGCCAAAGCCACAGAGGTTTCTTGGGGCCTGACTAACCATAGGTGCTCACAGGTGGACCAGACCACCCCTGCCCAACCCGACAGGAATCCAGGGTTCAAGGATCCCCAGGCCCAGCCACACCCACCCCAGCTTCCCAGACAACTGGTCATACTCACCAGGGAGCCCTGGGCAAGGAGGTCCCTGGGAGCCACAGGCACCCCCAAGCTCAGCGTCACAGGCAGGCGGTAGAGCTCGGGGTGAGCACACAGCCAGCGGCTGAAACTGAGGGCAAAGGCCAGGGGGTACTGCAGCCGGAGGCAGAGAGAGATGGGGCGTTCAGGGGTGGGAACTATCCTGAACTCTCCCTGCCCACGCCGTGGAGAAGAATCCCAGGAGACTCCAGCATGGTCCAGGGCAATACTGAAGGGATGGGTGACAGACCAGGACATCTGCTCCCCTGGCTAAGGGGACAGGAGGGAGGGCTGGGCCTGCCAGACCAGTCCCGCTCAGGGCCCACCCTCTCTCTGGGTCTCTCCTTGTCTCTCCTTGTCTCTCCCAACTTATCTACCCATCTTCCTGGGGCCAGCACTCATCCCTACTCTCCTCCCCAGGTCCATGGGGTCCCTATCTGCAATCATCCTGTGGGGTGTGAGGGAGACTGGAGGAGCCCCAGGAGGAGGAGGCTTGGGTCAGTGCCCCCAGCCCCACCTGCTCATGCAGATAGTAGCTGAACAGGATCAGGTGGAAGTAGCGCTCCAGGCTCCGCAGCGCCCTCTGCCGGACAAGATGCTGTCCACTGCTTCCCTGAGAAAGAGGAGGGAAGGAGGGCAGGGAGTTAAAACATGAGGCTTCACAGGCTGCCTCTTTCGTGCCTGAAACTTGAGCCTGGAAAATTCCAGAAGACAGTGTCTCCCTCTTCTTCCAAGCGTTCAACTGTATCCTGTTGCGTGGTTAATCAGTGACTCAGGGAGATCTCTGGTGACGACACCAGGTGCTGCAGCTCTGGTGCAGGGACGGCCACCCCTGGGCAGGTAAGGAAGTGGGGGTTTCCTCTCAAGGCCACCCGATACCATGTTCTGCACCCCTATGTTAGGAAGCAAGTGTGCAAACCCTTTCTGAAGGGAAGCCCTCCTGGAGGAAGGAAGGACCCCCCCCAGCCCAGTGGAAATCAGAGATCCTCACAATGGCACGGGGGAGGACGTTATTAATATTACCCCTAATTTATAGAATGGAAAGGGAAATTCAGAGAAATGCAGTGACTTCCTCCAAGTCACACAGCCGATGGCAAACAGGGCTGGTCCCTCTCTCCTACTCGCACCCTGCAATCCTCCGGGTAGTGGGGCGTCAAAAAAAACCCACAGGTCCTTCCTCAACCCTCAGCTCTCACAGTCCTCCTGCAGGGCCAGCAGCCCTTGGAGAGCAAGTCAGACTCAAATTGGCCCAAAAGAAGGTCATCCTTCTGATGAAGTTGGACCCCAACTTGAGGAATCCCCACGTCGGGTTGGCAAGCCTGGCTTATAAAAAGCTGGCAATGGGCCAGGGATTTACCTCAGTGGCTCCGCCACCTGCCTCACAAGTACAAGGACCTGGGTTCTATCCCAGGTACCAAACAAAGCGGGGGCGGCCTGGCAGTGAACGTGCTAGGTGTGCAGCCTGCACGTCTCTACTGACGCAGGAGAGGCAGCATGTGTGTGCACAGTGCACAGGCAAGGCCATGCTCCCATTAAAACTCCCTCCCAAGGACAGGCGGTGGCCTGGGTGTGGCCATGAGCCCTGCCTTGCTGACCTCTAATCTGGGCTCTGAGGGAAACCCCAAAAATACAGAAGCCTTCGTTTTCATGAGGCTGCTCCAAGCAAAAAGTACTTACACTGATGAGGATCCTGAAGTAACCCAACAGCCAACAAGAGTGGTCTGCTTAGCAACTCACAGCAGGTGACACTGGCGACACCCGGCCTGAGCTCTCTCCCACGTATATCATGTGTCTCGCCTCACCTCACCCCATGGAAGCCCCACAAACTACTTATTGGCCCCACTTCATGACTGCGGAAATGGAGGCACAGAGAGGCAGAGTAGTTATCAAGTCCATACCCTTAGCCACGGCAGGGCGAGGGCCAGAACCCACGCAGCTGGGCCAGGCCCTGCTCTTCACTTATCGGAGTGATGCTGGCTGAACCATGTCAGGAGTTTAAGTGACACGACCATTAGAAATCTCAGTGACAAAAATCAGGCAACCACATGGGAACGTGCTGCTGTGAAGTTATAACAAGCAGGATGTGAACCGTGCGCTGGGGCAGCCTCCACCGCAGAATCATAAACACACAACACAAAGCAAACCAGCTCCAGATGCTCGCACAGCTGTGTTGGGATTATGGGCAGTTTCTTTTCCTTTCTGCTCTAAATTCTCAATTTTCCACCACAGAATACTGCTGTTAAGATATTTCTAAAAGGAGGTTGAAGGAAAAGGCTCTGTGGGCTTCGCTTCTTTCCACACGCCATGTTGAGCCAACCTCAGGCCCCAGAGCTGGGGACAGGGTCTGCCCAAAGCCTGGGCGGCACACTGGACCAACAGCTGCTATAGTTTGGATCATGAAAATTAGATAAAGGTTTGGTCCCAAGGTGGCACTCTTAGGAGACAGCAGGACCTCTAAAGAGTGGAGGATGGAAAGTCCTGGGTCACTAGAAGTGAATCCCCAAAGGGACAGCAGGACCTCAGCCTCTTTCTCTTCCTCTCTTTTTGCTTCTTGGCCAAAAGGTGAGTAGGTTCGCTCTGTCTGCTTCACACAGCTGCCATGACATGCTGCCCTTGCCCAAGACAACAGGGGCCGATCGATCCTGGACAAAACCCCCCAAAACTATGAGCCAAAACAAACTCTCCTCTGTATAGGTTCCTTACCTCCAATATTTCATTATAGTCACAGGAAGCTGACTACAGGCAAAGGACCGTGAGTGATCTGGGAAAGATCTGAATCCAGGGACCCCAGCAACCCCGGCCAGCAGCCCTTTCCTCCATCCTGTTTATTCTGCCACCAAGAGACATGGACAGGGAAAGTAAACTTCCCTTCTTCCCTGTCCTTCTCACAGGCCCAGCACCCTGCCTCCCCTCCCTCTGGAAGTTGCTCCTCTTGTGGGAAAGGCAGCAACCAGGAGAAGTCCAGCTGAAAGAAGTCAGCCACACCCTAACGAAGTCAAGCTGCACGGCTCACGCGAGACTGGCAGAGGTTCTTGCGCTGACCTCCCCGCCTCACCTGCGCTCCACTCTCCGGCCGGATGCCTTCCAGCTTCCTCTGGTTTTCCAGGGCCTCCTCCTTCAGATCATGCAACTCAGCACAGGCAGCGATGGCTCTGTCCACCTGGGCAGAGCACAGGGCAGGGCGGAGGGAAATGGGAGATGGAGAGCAGAGGAAAGATGGAGGGAGAAGAAAAGGAAAGGAAAGAGAGGAATTGGCAGAGAGCAGCTCGGGGAAGGGCATCGCTGAGACCGAGGAATGATGCCCCCACCAGTGACAGGAGGGACCGACCCCGCCTCACTCACCTCCTCCACCATTCCCCTTCCCTGGGGCACTGTGTGCAGGAAGCTCTGGACCACCTGGAACTGCTCCATGGGTAAGGGCTTGGTCTGCAGGGGGCCGGACCTGACAAGGCAGGGAGCAGCAGTTAAGCAGGGCTCCCAAAGGCCTCTGGGACAGCCTCGTATCTGATCCCTCCCACCGGTACAGACTCCTGGAAGGAATCAGACCACAGATTCCTTCTGAGCCCCACTCGGAGAAGCAAGGGGCATTGCCCCCACTAGGGAAACTGAGGCCTAGAAGGGTCCAATGCCTCCCTCCAGGTCACAGAGCTAAACTGTGGCAAACCTGAAAATTAGCTCCTAATTCTGGATCTGAGCTCCTGGATGTGTCCCCATCACCCCAGGGCAGAGCCAGCCCCTCCTCCCTTCATCCCCATATCCCCATGGGACTCCATTCCCTGACCACTCACTCCGCCTGTGAGATGACCCTGCTGTGGTGAAACAGCACGAGGGTGCCCAGGATCATGCCCAGGTTGGTCCTGCCCACGCCCGAATGGCAGCTGAAGAGGAGGGTGGGGGCAGACCCGTGGGCATCTCGGAGATGCAGCAGGCTGGGGGTCTCCTGGGAAAAGACCAGGAATATCGGGCAACAGCATGAAGTAAAACCCTGCGGCTGAGGACCAAGTCAAGGAAGGGGCTTGCGACATCAGCCCACTCAGTCCCACAGCCTGCAGCAAGCTGGTCTCGGTCCAGTGGCTCAGCCTCTGGTATCAAAGCCACAGCCGGATCTACTCCACCTGTCCCCAGGAGCACAGGCCCTGGCTCTGTGCGGGTCTCGGAGGACTTCCGTGAGCAGGTGTGAGGGTACTGTGTGTGGGGTCTGAAAGTGAGAGCTACTTAGAGGGCACCGGGCCTGTCCTGAACACCTCAGGTGAGATGCAAAGAAGTAAGGCAGCATTAGGGATTTAGCTCAGTGGTGCCGCCACCTGCCTTGCAAGCACAAGGTCCCAAGTTTGATCCCTGGTACCAAATAAATAAATAAATAAATAAACAAGGCAGCGTCCTAGCAGTGATGCAGACCTGTAATCCCAGGAGTAAAGGAGGCTGAGGATCACACGTTTAAGGCCATCCTGGACAACTCAGCAATTGAGAGAGGCCCTGGCTCAAAATAAAACAAAGAGCTGGGGATGTAGCTCAATGTGAAGGTCCTGGGTTCAATCTCCAGTACCACAAAAAAAGTAAGAATAAGACAGCATCCTGGGACAGAAAGGCCACTAGGACTCAGTATACATCAAGTAGTCTGTGGAGTAAGAATCACTAGCGCTGCTAAAGAAATGAGGAACTTGGGGTCCAGAGAGGCAAGGTGACTTCTCCAAGGCCATACAGCAAGTTCACAGCCAAGTCATGGCCAAAAAACAGGCCTCTGGGAGTCAGGGATGGACTCTGCACTTGCAAGGTGTGCAAATGCACACAGGTGCAAACACAGATACACACTTGAGGCATACACAGACACCACACAGGGACACAGGCACAGACACCACCACACATACAACACGTTGGACCCCATATGCACCCAGAAAGAGGTCCTCCCCTGGGAAAGCCAGTCATACCACCCCGAGCATTTCCAGGGTCACAGCCTCTGCCCTACTCACCCGCAGGACACTGACAAAGGCGTCCAACTGGGCTTCCAGGGGGGCCCCTTGTTCTGGCAGAGGCAGGCGGTGGTACCTGCCAGGGGAGGGGAACAGCCCATCAGGCAGGCACCTACCCCTGTCCCCTCCATGGGCAGTGGGATGGGTTGAGCCTGGCCCAACTGCAGACAGAGAAACTGAGGCTGCTGCTCGAGAGCAGCCCAGAGGGGACCTCAGCCAGCCCCCAGGTACCTGTAGGTGGGCTGGAGGAAGAGGGGCCGCTTGTACACCTCCTCGGTCACACGCACATCGTCCTCCCCCCGGACAGCCACGGTATGGGGCTCCCCCCGCAGGTTGTCCGTGTCATGGTACACATAGTAGGTGTTCTCACTCAGCTGGGCAAAGTCTTGGATCTAGAGAAAGGTGTGGGGGTCAGGGACCATGACCAACCTCCAGGACCCAGCTGGGCCCTGAAGTGACCAGGCCACACAGAGGCCACACACAGAAGGAAGGAATCACACAGCCAGAGCGCTCTCTGGGCCCTGCCTGGGAGTCCTGGAGGGGCCAGGGGAGGCCACTGTCCTGAGGGAAGCCAGCTCCTGGGGAGCCAGGCTGCCAGGCTCTGCCCAGCGGGCAGCAGGAATGCATGAAGCCACCTGACTGCCAGGACAGGGCAAGGCTCAGTCTACTACAAGCAGGAACTGAGGGGGACAGATGGCACAGTGGGCTGAAAAGGGGGTAGGGAGATGGTGGTCACCAGCAGGGCTTTGGTTCCTGCCCACATGAGGCTCTGAGGTGCTATGACCCCGCACGCCTCATTTACTCCCTTCTGTGGTGTCACCAGCCTCAGCTGTCAAGCCTCCAGGTCATGTAAGGAAAGGAGGACAGAGGAATCTCAGAGCCATACCCACAGAGTCCAGCGAGAATGACTGTTCCAGGCCCCCGCAGTGCAGGAGCAATCTGGGTCCTGGGCCTCTTGTTCTAGCGCTGTCCCCCCACATCAGACCCCTGTCTAATAAAGGTGCTGAGCACCAGAAGAGCAGGGTTCGGTAGGGGCAGGGGCCTAGAAAGAAGCAACAGGAAGTCTGTAGACTGGCAGCCCTAAGTCAGCTTGGCAGGCAGCCTCTCCTCCAAGCGGGAGTGTGGCCCAGGCCAGCCAGCAGGGCCGACCCAGGGACCGCATCTACGGAGCTACTCTGCAAGCTGGGGCCTCAGTTCCCACCCACCCCACCAGCCCTCACCTCTTTCTGGATGGCCAGCTCTGTGTTCTCCACCTGGACCCTAGGACCCAGGCCCTGTAGGTTCTCATGAAGGTTCTGCTTGTCTCGAGGTGTGTAGGACACAAAGTCCTCATCAGCACGCAGGAACAGCACAGGCTCCTCCCGCACACAGAAGATGATGCACTCCTGGCAGAAGGAAGCCGTCACCACTACCAGCAAAGGCGCCACCTTCCACCCAGCTATGCCCAGGAAGTGCCTCCTTCCTCCGGGGCCCAGCACTCAACCTGGTCCCTTCAACCTGGATGATACCTAAGAAAAAGCACAGCCCAAATACCACCTGCTCTCAATTCCCCCAGCTGGCAGGAACCATCCCTCCTCTCAGGGCCACATCCCTCATACTGATGATAATTTCCACCTTATACCACCTTGTCGGTGAATGCTTCTTTTCTCTTTTGATGAACTCCCCCACCCCCAGGTAGAATCACATCCTATCCATTTTCATGCACCCACAATTCTTAGCACTGGATTAATCAAATGTTTAATAAAAATCAGCTCAAAAAATAAATGGGTGCCACCACTGTTATAAATGCAGCATCCCCCAGAAGGCTCAGGGTATTGAAGGTGTGGTTGCTGGTGGGCTTTGGAAAGGTGACTGGATCATGAGAGCTCTAAATCCACCAAGTCAGTTAATCCATTGATGAGTCATTGGCTGAACAGGGTATAGGCAGGGTGCCTCATTGGATGAAGCAGGTCACCGGGAGGTGTGGCTTTGAAGGTATACTCTGTCCCTGCCCTTTCGCCCTTTCCTCTCAGGAGCCTCTCTTCTCCGTCTCCCAGCTGCCAGAAGGTAAGCAGGTTTCCTCCACACCCCTGTCCGCCATGATGATCTGCCTCATCTCCAGCCCAAAGCAATGGAACCTGCCGAACATGGACTGAAATCTCTGAAACCATGATCCAAAATAAACTTTCCCTCCTTTACGTTGATTTTCTCAGCTATTTTGTCACAGTGATAGAAAGCTGACTAATACAACCTCCAAGCAACTGTTCACTCACTGACCACTGACAGGCACAGAAAACTATGTGGTTGAGTTCACCCTGGAAGAACTGCAATCAATCTGCCCACTGCCTGCCCTTTCCTGGTCCACTGCAGGCCTCTTCAGCTTAGTCCCAGGTCAACTGTGAGGCAGTGCCCATGAATCCTGAAGGCACGGCACCCCCTCCTCCACCTTGCTCAGTCAAGGGGAGTCCTTGAAAGCAGGTACTTGGGGTCAGCTGTAGGGTTTTGGCACTGGGAACCCCTCATGAACTGCACCACCTTGAGGAAGTCACTTATCCTCCCTGAAATTCAGTTTCCTCCTCTGTAAATGAGACCAGCAGTTCCTCCCTTATAGGGTCAACATGAGGACTTAAGTGTTAGCTGTGATCTTCATTTGGCAGTCCTTCCTCCCTTTTTATTTTAGTTTTAGTTTTAGTCTTAGTTATGCCTTTGGGATGGGGCACTGGAGACTGAACCCAGGGCTTTCACACTGAGCTACATCTCCAGCCTTTTTTTTTTTCCCTGAGACAGGGTCTCTCTAAGTCACTAAATTGTCTAATCTAGAGCTTGTGATCTTCCTGTCTCAGCCTCCTAGAGTGCTGGATTGTAAGAAGGCAGTCTCTTGAGTTACAACCTGGCCCTTTGTGTCACCCTATCACCCCCTTGCCTTCTCCGAGGCCTCACGGTGAGTGTACAAGGAGCTCCTGACCTCAACACCCATGTCCTCACGGGACAAGGCAGTAAATATTTGCCAGAATTCCCAACCATGCCACCCACAGTGACATCCTGGAAGTCAAAGCCTCCCTAGATGGTGGCCAGGCCCCGCCCAAGCCTCTGCCCAGATTTGTGGGGACAGGCTTGGGCATTGGCATGCTTACCTTGTGCCCATCCTTCTGGAGTTTCTGGAGGATCCGCGTGAACCCCAAGAGGCTGGGCTGTCCCATGCCAAACACAGCAGGCCCACCCCGAGCCTGCCGGAAGTTGGGGGCCCCATAGCTCCCCGAGGTGCCTAGAACATCCATCTTCTCAGAAACATCCCGCACTAGGAAGTAGCGGCCCTGGCAGGAGAGAGCCATAGGGGGTCACTCAGATAACCCATGCATCTTGTACAGGAAGGGCTCTGCCCTGGGCTCCAGGGGACAGGGTGTAGGGAACCAGGAGAAACACAATCCTGCCCCACAGTTCCCTGCAGACTCATGAATTCAGCAAACAAAAACCAGACAGCTATGATAGGAATGGTGTCACAAAGCACTGAAAAAGGAAAGATGACTGCCCTGAGGGGCATGAGAGAAGGCTTCCTGCAGGAGGTGGTTCCTAGGCCAAGCAGGGAGCGGCAGGACTGGCCTAAGTGGTGTGCCTGCACCTCCCACTGGAGGAAGGCAAAAGTCTCCCCCTGCTGGTGAAGGGGATTGGGTGGGGGCACAGAGAAGGGTCTCAGAGGAGGAAGAAGACGAGGAGAAGGAAGGAGAGGAGGGGTCACAGTGGAGGTACCAGGAATGAAACCAAGGACAACCGTGCTGGCCCCTTCCTATGCCCAGCTGGTTCTGAGAATGCTAGGCAAGATGAAAAGATGCAGTTACCGCAGAAAGAAGAAGAAAACACTGTCCGCTAATCAAGGGAAAGGAGAGGACAGCGGAAGAGCTCACTGAAGGCCAAAGGTTGCTCTGGGTCATTTGGTGCACCCCTGCCCTCAGCAGGCCGCTCAGCCACCTGCCTCACAGGCACGAAATGGGACCTGAATTCCCAAATGGGCAAAAGGCTCCCAGGCTTCATTCATCAAGTACAACTTAATGGTCGTTATTATTCATGGAGTTACTTATCTGCAGAATATATTTATTCAGCAGCTGCCTGCTTCCAAATACTGTTCTAGGACCCGGGACTACAGCATTAAATAAGGTAGACTTAAAACTATGAGCCCTCATGGACTTTATACTGTCTAGGAGACATCTGCAGAAAACAAAAAGTTAACTAAGCGAGAGAAGGTCTGAAACTTCAAAAGAGAACGAAATGGAGACTCCCAGCCAGAGGGGAGCAGGGTCCAGCATCCCTGGTGCCCAAGGTAGGAAGCAAAGGTAGGCTGGGGCCAGGCAGGGAACATATGGAGAATAAAGAGCAGGGACAAGAGGGATGGGCCCAGGAAACCAGAGAAGAGTCCGGGACGCAAGGGAGAGTGAGCTGTGCTGCACTGCCCTTTAAGAAGGGATGAGGTAATAAGAGAGACAGAGCAGGAAGGAGAGGGAGGGGAACCCCTGAGGGATAAAGTCAGGAGGAGGCTGAGGCTGCAAGGGCATGGCCTGGCCTCACCTGCACCAGGTAGTGCTCAGGGGTAGCATCCGAGAGCCGGCCCAGAGTGTAATGGGCCTTGAGCAGCTCATTGTGGATCTGGAACTCCTCCTTGCAGTTGTACCTGCAGGCCATAGTGGAAACCAAGTCAGACAACTTCCATGTTATGGTCTCCTCCACCCTCACCAGAGCCCACACCAAGGCCACCCCACCTGCTCACATGGCTGCCCAACTATGACAGAGACAGTCCTTCATCCACAATAGCTACTCTCCTTTCTTTAGACACAGAACCCAAGATTCCCCATGACTGGGGGAAGGGGAACTGAGTCATCCGGCTGCAGACTACATTTCCGAGCCTCCCTTGCATCTGGTCACATGACTGAACCACAGCCAAGGAGATGTGAGGGACTCAATAGCAAATTCTGGGCCATGCACCAAGGGGATACCCTCCAGTTTGTCCTCTGTCTTTCTCCAGGGACCAGGTCCAGAAATGATGGCAGAAATAGCACAACCATCTCGGACCACAAGATGCAAGACAATGGCACTGGGTAGCCAGAGTAGCAGTGGGGGTGATAATAGGGCTGCCATGTCAACCTGGACATTTAAGTGAGAGACAAGTTTCTGTCTTGCTTTAAGGCATCCTACTGGAGGTCCTGCTGTTACCACAGCCTAGCCTGGATCCTGCTAAGACACTGTCATTGCATGGTTCCTCCCTCAGATTGTGCCTGAAACAATCCCACACTGCCAATCATACCACCTGGTGGTGGTGGATATCAGAATGCAAGTATTGAGTGTGAATCCCAACCCCACCTCTTGGTAACTTGGTGCCTTGGTTCCATTTCTAGGCCTTCCTACCTCCGGCATGACTATGACATAAGTGCTCAGCCCGGGACATAGTAAACACACAATAGAATCACTGTTACCCAAAGTAGTTCCTTCTCCACACCACGACCAGTTCAAACAAACCCACAGGAGAAAATCATGATTTCTGAAGACATTAGGCCAAGTAAAAAACCACATACTCAAGGACTGTAAGATGGCTGTCTCAAAGCACAAAGCCACAGGGCCGGTACAACAATGCATAAGACACAGACTCGCAGTTTAGGATCTGGTGTCTGGGCTTCTCTGCCAAAGGACTTCCTTTAGGAAAGGCAGGGGGCAGAATGTGCGGTCCATAGGAGCATTAGAACAGGAATCGGGAAACCTCATTTCTATCTCTGGGGACACACAGTGGACAAATTTCACTTTGAAACCAGTTTTTATATCTAAATCAGTTTTTACATCTGACCTAAAAAGCATTAGAATAGGGTTTCACAAGTCCTTTCTGCAAAGGACCTGACAGTGAATGTTTCAGGCTACTGGGGCCCCATGTAGCCTCTGCTGCAGTCACTCACTTATGACATTGGAATGCTAAGCATCCACAGACAACATGTAGGTTGTAGGAGTGGTGGTGTGCCAATAAAACTTTATTTATATTAATAGGTGAGGGGTCAGATTGGCCTGTGGGATGCAGAGTGCTGATCCCACTACTGGACAACCTCTAAGGTCCCTTCTACCTCAAACAGTCCGTACCCTAGCAATATATATGGCTCCAGGCTATGCACACAACACTTTGAAATGGATCTTCACAGCTGACGAGCAACTGTTCTTAGCCACACCATTTGGGGAAATATTGGTTTGTTTTTTGGGTTTGGTTTTTTTTTTTTTTTTTTTTTGGTACTGGGGATCAAACTCAGGTCCTTGTGCTTGCAAGGCAGGCAGCAGAACCACTGAGCTAAATTCTCAACCC